CTCTGGGTAGTTCTTGGGGGGGGTGACCGAATATACCTACCAGGGTCCTTATATTCTATTAAATAGCAACCGGGGGACTTCAGCTTCAAAGGGTCTCCGGGCTTCACTCCAATGCATGTGGTCATCGTTGCGGAAATGCATGGCACCTTAGCTCCTTGGTAAAACTGGTGAAAATTGGGGGGGGTGTTAGGGTTGAGGGTTTAGGGTTTAGGGTTTTAGGGTTTTAGGCTTTAGGGTTTTAAGGGTTTAGGGCTTTGGGGAGGGTCCCTGTAGTAGGGATTATAGTATACTTGCAGGTAGATAGGGGCTCCTTTTTTTTTGGAAATACCCAGTTAGGGTCCCCACCCCTCCTGTTGGATTCCCCCCCTGCACGCTGGAATCTTTCATTTCCTGGAACGCTGGTGCACATGAAAAAGCCTGAACCTGCAGAAAACAGGGGACGGGAGATCGGCCATGTTCGCCAAGAAGGTTGCGCCAGAAGTTGAACATGCCAATGGCGCCTTGCATCTCTTTGTATAAGCCATTCTTGGAGTCGTATTTTGGAGGAGGAAGTGTCAGGCAGTGTGCCCCAACACAAACCTGAGCCAGCATCCGCCTAGGAAGAAAACTTGATCCTTTAGGTAAATATATACATTCTACCTCCATGTACCCCTTCAAAGGATCTCTAACGCTGACCCAGAAACGGTTCCCGAAATGGGTGCCGTGGTGCAAGGACCAAGCCAGGCACCCTGGACCTGAGGTTTTGACTCAGAAGCCCTTATAAAATGGAATTCTTTTCTGTGTATTTCTATAGGGTTCTTTTTCAAGGGGTTATGGTCTAGAATGGGTTCTTTTTCAAGGGGTTATGGTCTAGAATGGGTTCTTTTTCAAGGGGTTATGGTCTAGAATGAAAATCATTCCTGGCATTGATCCAGGGACGACATGCGTGCCTCCCACAGAGGTGTTCAAGCCCATGTCCGCGTGCTCCGCCAGCTGATCTTTGACAGCTTTGGCATCCTTTGCCAGGGCCACCTTGTTTTGCTTGATCTGCTGGCCGATGTGCTGCGTGTTCTTCTGCAAGGCCTGATGATTTTGCATCTGGCACACCATCACAGACTCCACGCCATCGCAGACACACTGCTTGTAGTCCTTGAGAATTTCGGCGCTCTTGGTCTGCTCCTTCACACCACAACGCACCTGGGTCCTTACTTGCTGCCAGCGATGGTGCTGGTCCAACTGCTGCAGCCGGGCCCGCTGACCCTGCGTCAGGTTTCCCCTTGCAACTTCTGCAAAGTTCTCGTAGAAAGCGGAGAGCTCCGGATGGGAGTGGTCACCGCCAACGGCGAGCTTGAGGTGCTTCACAAAACGATGGCCTAGCTGGTTCTCCTGCGGCGCAGGTATTTTGAACTGCACGACTCATCCTGCCTAGGCCTCAGAAGACCCGATTGGTTTGGACAATAATTTCTCCTTGGTGTGAAGGGCGAGGACCTGCTTTGCTTGCTGATTCAGCTTGTGTGACCTCGGCGTGCCGGAGCATCGCAGTTGGCATGCAACACAAGGTTTCAGACCATCATGGCTTTACAGGAGTACGCAAACACTGCCTGCAACGCCATGATGTTCTTAGTAGACAACGACAACAACCACAACCACAACCAAGACGACGACGACGACGACGACGACGACGACGACGACGACGACGACCACCACAACAACAACAACAACAACAACAACAACAACAACAACAACAACACCAACACATATCCCCCTGATAAAAGACTATGTATTATTGGGGGAAGGGTCTATTATTTTCTTCAACTTGCACCATGCAACAGCTCATCAGCCAAGTTCTGGTGGGACGTCTGCATCAGTGAGCTGCCGCACTTTGCGGAGCCGTACTTGACCTGGCCATGGACTGGATTGTTGCTAAGGGACCCTTTAGGGTTTAGGGTTTAGGATTTAGGGACTGGAAGTCAAGTTGCTGTTTGGGATGTATAGTTTAAGGGACTTAACTTAAGTTACCATTCTTATAATGGAGCTTCATATGGAAAATCAAACAGAAACCTGGGTTTTGCAAGGGTGTGTACCGGAAGTTCTCCCAGACTATTGTTGGGGGATTTCAACTCAGATGTCATGATATGGCTGATATGGGTGTATAGCAACAGTGGTGCTTCCTTACTATGGTGACTCAGTTTGAGCTCCTTAACAACAACCCAGAAAATGGATGATTTGGGAGGTCTAAGATTGAAGGCCCCGCTTATGGCAGGAAAACGCGCACTGTTCTTCTATGAGGGCCTGAAAATGTGCACCAGGGAGAAAGGTAATTCGTATTCCCCTTAACAACCGCCAACTTCAAACCCTGGCACGCACCCAAACCCAAAAACCCTAGACCTGAAACTGCGTGAGCCGCCTTCATCTTCTTCACGAAGAAGTCAACGTCAACCTTCTCGACAGTGCATCGCTTGTCCAGATAGAGCTCCTCGTGCTGGATCTGGGACAATTCCGCCTCCGTCTTGTGCCCTTGCTGCCTTCTTCCATGGATTCTGCGACGTAAGGAGCCACAATGCACACGAACGGCACCCAAACATGTTTTGGGGGGCCCTTGTGATGATGATTCGCATTGCGGAACTGTGGGTAGGAACGGATGGTCATAGCAGAAACACCCCACCCCACGTAGCCTTTATCGGGTTCTCAAGATGTTCGAAGCTCTCCAAATACAACTAACATCTGTGAGTCTGTGGGCGAGCAAGTTGCGTGCTGTGGAGGAGGTCTGCCGAGTCTTTGGCGATGGAGCTTGCTTCTTCCCCGTCACCGCAAGTTTTCGCAACCATGTCCAATGTTGCAGAGTACTCCTGATCTTCATGGGGCCTTAATATCAACCTCTGGTCCAACTTCTTAGGGCCCCACTTGGATCAAAATTGGGCTACCCGATGAATCCAAAACCCTAAATTACACTCCTCAATGGTTTCATCGGAGATCTCCATCGCAGATAGGACCGCTTCCGTTTCCGTCTTCAGATTTTCCTGGACCTCCTGGGCTGCAGCCTCTTTGCCTGCTAGGTCTATTACAAAGCACTCAAGGGCTTCTAGGGGTTAAGATTTTAGGGATTAAGGTTTCTACACAAGGTGCATGGGGGTATATAGGGCTTATCTGGGGACAGCATGTGGAGTTATGGGTAGACACGATTTGTATGAAAGACGAATGCCATCTCCAATCGTAACTATAAGGGGGTAGAGAATATTGCCTGGTAATAAGTTGGGCTTTGCCTACCTAATTTGCCTGCGAGAATTTCGCCCTGGACGTACTCATTCGTGTCGTCATCGATGACCCTGGCGTGCCCGTATGGGAGTTGTCGAATTTTGCTGGGTTAGGGAGGGGGATGGCGGAGGGAGAAGCGGGAGGGGGAGGGGAGGAGGGAGCACAAATCCATGCCGAAGAAAAAAAGAGGCAATAGGCACCGGAACCAGAACTACAGTACGACTATGGGAACCTAGCGTCGCAATTTTGCTGATGTCCGTCGCAAGCTCACCGGCCATGAGCTTTTTCAAGCGCTCAACGGCAGCCTGTAAAAAGGGTGGGGCTAGGGTTTAGGCTTCAGGCTAAGCGACAGAAATCGCAGAGTGATTTCCTGCATGGATTTCCATGGCAATTGATTAGTCCCCAAGTCCCCTGAGGTACGGATGGCTCCTGTCATGCTTTAAGCGTTCAGGGTTTGGGGATGATGAGGGTTTAGGGACTAGGCTTCAACCTTAACCCATTGAGGCTTCAACCTTAAACTCATTAAGGCTTCGGATGGCTTCAACATCTTCCCTAAAAAATCTAGAAATGTTTTGCGGGCACGCCCTGCCTCGTCGTTCGCCTCCTCTGCCTGGCCCGAGCTAGGGTATAGAGGGCTTTCGGGCTTTAGCATTGCGGTCGGGAACGGTGGCCGGAATAATTATTGCCTGCACCGCCCGCACTGCCCGCACCGCCCAATCAGCGCACCGCCCGCACTGCCCGCGCCGCCCGCGCAGCCGCTGCCCGCACCGCCCGCACCACTCGCACCCGCCCGCACCGCCCGCACCGCCCGCACCGCTGAGCGCAGACGGCGCGAACGCCGAAGATTCTAGAGACGGCACAGATGGCGCAAGCGGCAGAAGGCGCTCAGGTGACCCAAATGGCGCAGCTGGCGCAGCTGGCGCAGCTGGCGCAACTGGCACGATGGCGCAGCTGGCGCAACTGGCGCAGTGGCGCAGATGGCGCAGATGGTGCAGGTGGCGCATGTGGCGCAGGTTGGGGAAGTGGCGCAAGTGGCGCAACTGGCGCAGGCGGCGCAGCTGGTGCACGCAGGCGCTGGTGGCGCAGCTGGCGCCGATGGTGGCGCAGCTGGTGCCGATGGTGCAGCTGGCGCCGATGGTGCAGGTGGCGCATGGCGCAGGTGCAGCTGGGTAGCAACGGCGCAGTTGGCGCAGGTGACGCAAGTGGCGCAAGCAAAAAACAGAGTAGGTCTGGCCACGCCTTCCGACCGCACTCGGCTTTAGGATCAGGGCTCAAGGTTGAGGGTTCAAGTTTATTGGGTTTTAGGCTTGAGGGCTTAGGTTTTAAGGTCTAACGCCTGGGGCTCAGGGTCCAGAAAGAAACCCAATTGGCAAGCCTGGGTTTTGGTGCACATTGCCCTCAAGAAGATGGTATAGGGAAGCTTTGGATTATTGTCAGTCCCTTTCCCACAGTACAACTCCTGATGATAGGGGACCTGATGGATGGGTGGATATTTTTCTGCAGCTTGGACTCGAGATGTTGAACCCTAAACCTTGGGTCCTGCCCCCACCCATTAACAGTCTATACTAGGGATCGTATTAAGGGCTATATATAACTATACTATAAATATTATCCAACTGTTAATGAGTGGGGGCAGTACCCAACCTAAACCCTACGCCCTGAACCCTAAACCCAAAGCCTTGACGATCATGTCGGCGAAGCAGTCCAAATGGGCCTTGGCCGCGGCAAGTCGCGGGTCGTCGTCCTTGGCGGAGGCAATCTCAGCGAGTGGCACCTGGAATCATGGGAATGCCACTTAAGGACTGGCTCCCTCCAGCCTCACAGACACTCCCCCCCACCGCTCTGGCAGGACTATTCAGCCCTATTAAGGAGTGGGGCTTTATGCGGCTTCTGCGCGGCCTTCTTGAACAGGATGAATCCTACACACGCCGAATCAATCCGAGTTCCCCAAATCCACATTCTCCAGGTGCATATTCCCCAACAAGTGTTAGCTCAATGCGTAAGCTGCCTAACCCTAAGCCCTAAACCCTAAGCCCTAAACCCTGGGCCCTAAACCCTAAACCCTAAGCCCTAAACCCTAAACCCTAGGCCCTAAACCCTAAACCCTGTAGCAACATTGCATCAAAGCTGGGCCTTGTCGGTACATTCCTCCGGACAGTGCTTCGCAAGCGCTTCGCCGTTATACTCCTGACTGCGTGCCAAATGGGTGGTTGTCAAAATTATGGTCCCTTTTTGGGTACCCTAAATACAATAGGGACCCAAAAAGGGACCATAATTTTGACATATTTTGACAGCCACCCAAGTGCACAGTCCCCCTCGCATGCCCTGAAGTATGCAGAGGACTCAGAAAAAGGAGACTCTAAACTCCCTCAACCCAAAACACTCCCCACAAACCCTAAGGCCTAAACCCTAGACTCTTACGTAAGCCTAAACCCTAAACTCTAGAAACCCTGATCCCTAGTCAGAAAATCCCTCAACCATCCTATACCCTAAACCAAACCCTACACTCCCTTAACCTGGGTTGCTGTTAAGGAACTTAAATTAAGTTACCATAATGGGTATATATAATAATTCATATGGTTCCCCCAATACAGTAACTTAGATTAAGTTCCTTAACAGCAACCCAGTAACCATCTAAACCCTAAACCCTAAAACCTAAACCCTAAACCCCTCCTTGCCATGGGGATGGTCAACCCCTGGGCACAAGCTCGCCCAGGTGGCTTTGCACGACGCCTCCTCCAAAATCTTGGCGCAGCCAACCGGGCTCCTAGGATGTTGCTGGGGTTTAGGGTTTAGGGTTTGAGGGTTTAGGGTTTAGGGGTTTAGGGGTTTAGGGATTTAAGGCTTTAGGGTGTAAGAGTGTTTATTTTTTTGTTGTCTGGTCTTTTTTGTTGTTTGGGCTTTTCGGGTGTTATCTTTTTTGCTGTTTGGGCGGGGGCGTGTTTTTTTTTGCTGTTTG